GAATACCAAAGACTTACCTCGGGGAAATAAAAGTAACAAAACCTTTATGGTTTTTTTTATTTAGTTTTTTTTTTAAATACACGGTTGAATGGGTGAAAGGAATGTTGCATACTAGGTACAAGTAGCCAAGTCTGCAGGAATTTAATGTATTGTAGTACTCAGCATGAAGGGCCACCAGTAAGGGGCCCACTATTTGATTTTTGAGCCGGGGATGGGTTTTTTTTTTCATGCAAGATTTTTTCAGATCTCATTCGTACAGGGGCTATTTTGTTTTGCACAAAATGTACAGACTTTAGTGACAATATTGATCTACAAGAATTTTTTCGGCCCTTTGGGCTATTCGGCCTCGGCTTATGTAATGGTTGTCCCCGAAAGGTATCACTACCTTAGATTTGGAGCCTGAATTTTTCAGTAGAGTGAGAACACCCGCTCTGAACGAATACGCATCGCAGCGGCCCAGCTGCCTTTTAGAATCAATAGAGAGGCTCTACCAATCCTCGTTTATCTTTTATACCGGTCCTCAAAGCCATTACACACAGAGAAAGCTGGGTCCAAAGGCACCGGAATGGCTTCGAAAGTCGCATGGCAAGATTACACTTTAAGGTGGCTCGATACAGTTTCTTAGGGTGAATACCTCCCACGTTTGAGCGTAAACTATGTCGCCATAAACAAAGATTTGGAAAAATTAACACCACAGTTGTATTAAATAAAGATGAAACTTTGTTATGATCAGGGTTGCAATGACATCGGAGTTGTCATGGCAGCGAAATGACGCCATAACCTATTTTACTTGCAGCAGTATATCTCGGCTATGGGAACTGTTCTTCCAAGATCGTTTACTAGAGCTTTTTCCTACAATAGTCGCCTTGGTGTTCGTGAAGTTTAAGCGAAATCTGTAAGAGCGTTATCGAGATATTTTGGGAAGAAGTTTTTTTGTTTAGAAATACGGTAAAAAAATGGACAATCTTGATGTTCGACTGTTATCTGTGCTAAACGAAGCGCTTTTGACATGCAATTTCACCTCATAGTAGTTTCAATCTTTTTAAAAACGTGTGTGAAAGATCATGGAGATACCTCCAGCCGATTGCTAGAAAGAAGGCTTTGATTAGTATGTATCGGGGCGTTCTTATTAGAAATATGTAAACATTTCGGTCTACTTTAGCAAATTAGCGAATAATTTTTAAACCGCTCGATAAATTTTTTAAAAAAATTAAGAGTCTGGAGATAAACCGTCCTTTTATATGACATCTTAGTTTCAAGATGATTGATATATTGTAAAGTAGCAAAATAAGCGCTTCAATTCGCTAATATTTTTGTCAGAAATTTTGTCTTTACAAGTGAGAGTCTCTGATTATTCAGGGGTATTGTCTCAAGGTTTCATTTTCACGTGAACAGCAGTAACTAACAATGCACTTGACATATGCAAAAATGCTAGCTATTGTTGTGCACGAAAATATGAATTTTGGAGACAATACCTCTGAATAATGAGAGGCTATCACTTGTAAACACAAAACTCTTGACAAAATATTAGCGAATTGAAGCCTTCATTTTACTGCCTTACAATATATCAATACTCTTGTAACTAAGAGGTCATATAAAAGGACGATTAATCTCAAGATTCTTAAATTTTCTAAAAAATTTATCGAGCGGTCTAAAAATTATTCGCTAATTTGTTAAAGTAGACCGAAATGTTTACATTACTGCTAAAAAGAGCGCCTTGATACATACTAATCAAATCCTTTTTTCTAGCAATCGGCTGGAGGTATTTCCATGAACTTTCACACACGTTTTTAAAAAGATTGAAACTACTATGAGGTGAAATTGCATATCAAAAGCGCTACGTTTAGTACAGATAACAGTCGAACATCAAGATTGTCCATTTTTTACCGTATTTCTAACCATAAAAACTTCTTCCCAAAATATTTCGATAACGCTCTTACAGATTTCGCTTAAACTTCACGAACATCGAGGCGACTATTGTAGGAAAAAGCTCTAGTAAACGATTTTGGAAGAACAGTTCCCAGTGCCGAGATATACTGCCGCAAGTAAAGTAGGTAATGGCGTCATTTCGTTGCCATGACAACTCCGATGTCATTGCAACCCTGATCATAACAAAGTTTCATCTTTATCTAATACAACTGTGGTGTCAACTTTTCCAAATCTTTGTTTATGGCGACCTCGTTTACGCTCAAACTTGGGAGGTATTGACCTTTAAAAACTATATCGAGCCACCTTAAGGAAGTTATGGACGAGGAAACGAGCGCGGAGGGAAAGGAGCGACAAAGGAAGGCATTGCAGAGCTTTGCGAAAGATTTCGGACGGGGTGTACGACAGCAACGAACGAGAGGGAAGACCAAAGAAAGAGCTGGTACGCTTCCACTTGCTCTGAGTATGTTTAGAAGGAATGCGTTGGCACACGCAGAAGTCGATCTGCTGAAAGAGGTTCAAGGGAGTTAAAGACAAACTACAAATCAAGACGCAGCCGAAGAATATGAGATTATTTATTCAAAAGGTGACGTAGTTGCTCTCAAGCACAATTACAAGAGGTATATCATTTCTTTCTTCCTTGCAGTCCTTTTAAAAGATCTCCATCATAACGCTGGGTGACGCATTCCTACACATGGGTTTGAGATGGCTAAAACAGTCAGAAGAAGATCCCCTTGTATTTCAGACAGGGCACCGTGACGGTAGAAATTCACCTAAGTGTATCATCGGGAAAGTTCAAATAATGAAAGATGGAAACAACTTCTGTTTGAGCTGCCTTGAAGAACAACGCCTAGTTGCATTGCTCCAAGGGTCAGTTGAATCAGATGATTTGCCTGCATCAGGTGGTGACGAAGAGGAAGGGGAGCAAGCTCAGGCGGACAACTTTTCAGAGCCAACTAGATTTGAAGTTGGAAGGAGTAGGTCTAGAAGACCTACAACCAGATATATCCTCTAACAATCTACAATGGTTACTAAGCCAGGAAAAGCCATTAATGGGCTTGACACAGAAAAGCTGTTAAACTGTAGAACCTGTGGCTTGCGTCATTTAATTTTTCTACTTCACGTAAAGCAGGTATTTTGCTATTGGTAATTGATCGTGATCCTCACTGTAACACACACAGAGTGAAAGGGGAAATTCACATAAGACTACACTCTAACAACATCAATAGGGATGGCAGAATAGAAAGTCCAGAAGCTTGGTTGCCCTTAATCAAGAAACGCAGCAATAGGAGATCCGTGCGACAGCGGATCAGTGCGGCAAAGGCTCATACAAACAACGGAGTAAGAAATGCACCAATCTCAGCGGCTAATAATCGACCAACCAGAGTCATATAAGTTCACGTGTGACCAGTAGACGAAGACTAGCAAGGTAAGGTCATTAAGTGTTGCTTTTCCTAATGAACACTTGAAGTACGCAGTGGAAACGTCGCGATCTACATCATTAAGTGACTGGATCGTGTGACAAAAGATTACACTTTATTAACATCAATATTGTAGACCAGTAACGCGGCCAACGTGAAATTTTTGGTTGCAAGACTCTCTTTGGAAATAAAACATCTGTGACCCACACAGATTGGACATTGATTAACTGGACAAGTTATCTGGGCAAGCAGATGTTCGTACGGGACAGGAATTGGAAAGCTAGAGGAAGACCTTAGTTCAGAAGTACCTTACAGTGACGTTAATTCAACCGGAGACCAACCACCGCTAGCTGTGTTTGCTGTTTGACTAAAAATTTTGAATCCAATGCTTTCTTGTGATTGGCTTATAAACCTCCGGGTTGCCTTGCTTGCATGAGCAACTCTGAAAATAAACCTTGTAAATACTACTGATGAACGTTACATCTGAAAAAATCAAGTTTCCGCCGCAAGATCTTTCAAGATGTACGATACTTAAAGGGAAGTGGACTACTTTTAATGTATAAATTAACAATAACTAACATTGTGTATCTTACTAAAGCTCCCTTTCAAGAAAATCAGATTTTATCATTTGTCTAGTATCGGCAAACATTATTAAATAGAATAATGCACAAAAAGAGGTTGACTCATATTGATCTTTAAAGCTATGATAGAACCTACAACTTGCAGTAAAAATTAAAGTTAATGTTTTTCTCAACAGCTTATTTGAGCAATTGTTCTATATTCT